CTATATAATCGTATTATATATATATGGTTACAACACTACCTCCAGCAAACATACTATCACTACCTATACTATATCAGCGTAATATACATACCCTATCATAATACAATCATAGCGCCGCTCATAACCATATATATATATATCTAGATTCTCTGCAAAACAACATATATTATTACTATGAATTAGTGACATAGGCTACTGACGAGCTTTCTCGTAGTATCAGCCACACACGATTTACTTGGACATATTCTGAGAAGACAGCGACTACATAAGATAACTACCAAACACTAATCAGAAGGCAACGGAGAGTATATAGTAAGACGAGCGGTGAAGAGAAAGCATATTATATAGATAGATAATATACCTGTTACCTGCAATAAAATACTATATAATAATAATATATAGCGAATAACATAAATATATTAAATATACATAAATCAGATATATATATAGATATATATATACGTCTATATAGAATATTTATATTATAATACACGGATCTATGTATCTATCTCTTCTCTATATAGTATATATATGGTTTTACCTTCTCTCTGTCTCTTATATTATATATATCTCGATATATGTATCTATATGTATATATCTATCTCTCTCTGTATATAATTCTATCTACCAATATCTATCTCTCTCTATATCTCTCTCTATCTCTATATACCTATCTCTCATCTAACCTGTCTATCTTCTATCTCTCTTTATCACTTCTCTCTCTCTCTCTCTCTCTCTCTCTCTCTCCTCCTCCCTGTCTCTCTCTCTCCTCTCCCTCTCGCTCTCTCTATCTCTCTCCTCTCTCTCTCTCTTCTCCCCATATACATCTATATAATAACATAGATTATATATGGTATATTAATCTGTAATATATGTATATATATGTACATATAAGTATATACATGTATGTATGTATACATATATGTGTGCATAAATATAAATATAAATCTATCTATCTACACATTAGACTTACCGGAAATTGACCACATGTAACAGATATAATTATCAACTTTGCTGAGGTTGGACTAATTGTGCATGAAGCAATTTTAATCATGCTTATATTACACCATACCCATAACCACCTCGTTCACTTCATCCAACGGGGCGGGCGCGGGGGCTGAGGGTCAGGGAAGTGTCCTCTCATATACAGTGGCACATTATGGGCAACGACAGACGGCAAAACTACAATATTTTTTCTTCCAATACATGCGCACTAATTTATTAAGTGACGAGCCATTGCTGCGCATTTTTTTCAGGTGTACTATCCAATCTCAGCAAGTGACTGTTTTAGGAATGTTTGCTCTTTGGACAGTGGGTTTGATGCACGTAAAAGGCGCGAAGTGATCGATCAGCGTTTTACTAATGAAATCAGACCACCTACGTTCAATTACCGTGTCAGAGTAATGGGTTACACGGAAGGGCTTGTTAATACATGGTGAAAACCATACATACAAATAAGAGCTACGCATTACTGTTATAGTTATAGTATAGTATAGTCTCTTCTAACGTCTCCCATGATATGACATTATATAAGGGCAACTGTAATAAATGATTCAGTAAATGCTGACAACAAACTGTAGCAATCGGAACCAGGCCATTTATATGGGACAACATACATTCTAGATCCACTACCTTCGCATAAGTGGTAATGACAGCGTTATTGTGCTCGTTGTTATTAGCGAATAATGAAAAATCGGGAAAGCCACACAATTTTTTTTTGTGCATGAATAATTGGAAATTCTTTGGAACACTTCGTATATTACTGAATGAAATATTGTTATAAGCTACTGCATTAGCCATCTGTGAGGCATGGTAATCTGAAGGCAATAATTATCAGAACCTGTTCCGATGTTAGTGGGAAATGGGACTGGGTTAGTGTTGCTCTATATTTGTTATCTCATTTATATCATCTGTGCATATCATCTAGATGGTGATATAGTAAGATTTCTGTGAATTCATAGTAAGAGAATATGAAAATCAAAATACTAAATACTACAAAATACTAAAATATGAAAATACTACGCTAGCTGTACCTTGCTGTTGCTCTTGTGCGTAGACTGCTGCTGAGCCCTCGCTTCGATCCCGCATCAGAAGTCGCGTGCCTCAGAAAAATGGCAGTTTTTCTGCTAGTTGTGCTTTCTTCGGCTTTATCATTTGCGCGGTCCTCAGTTGCCTCATTCAAATCTTATGAAACTGGCCTATTCTTTTACTTCGGGGAATTACGTAGAGGTTGTTCCTGGTCGGCAAAATGAGAGACTCGTACAATGGTGGTTCGTGGTCGAGACTGCCCTCCCCGACGAATAGGACTCCCGGTCCGATGTGTCCGTTCCAGCTGCACCTCTCCTATCTCTAGGGTGTCACGTAGAAGGCGCTGAACTTTCTCCTGCGTCATCTCCGCTGTCTCCTCTACGCCCTCGATGCGGATCTTGCGACGGGAGAATTCCTGTAGTTGATCAACGCGTCTTTTCAGTTGGCTGTATTGATCGTCAAACTCCTTCAT